AGAAGACGCCTAGGTGGAGATGTTAGTTGTTCCAATCATTTGCTATTGAAATTCTTAGGGTGGCGCACCATAGTTGTTGTGCTGGTTGATATCCGCATCTTGAGAGTCAGACGATACAACATTGCTCCCGGTATCGCCCGGCCCAGTAGCCCAGATCCAAGGCTGTTTAGTGGACGATATGTCCACCGATTGGTGGCTTTGATCCCCAGCGCAGTTTTGACATATGATGTTGGCTGTCATTACTGAGTTTTCAATGGTCGAAGATTGAACCGTGATGTTGACGTTGGATAGTGGCGATGGTGTATCGTGGCCACTGGCAGCATCCTTGAGCGTTTGTGCAATTATTGTTGGATATGTATCTGACTTACGAAGCACTCCTCACGCTAACAGTGACACCTTGAAATACTGTCAACTCGACTCAGAGAGGTAGCAGGAAAGCTAATGACATACCCTCGTTCTCACTTGATGGATACATAATGAACATCAGTGCGCCGTCCATTTTAGCTCCAATGCCAACTGCTCCCCAACCAGCGCTTTTGGGAGCTGCAATCTGGAAGTAAAGATCTGTTGAAGACGCATTCTGCGTGGTAGATAGTGCGAAGCCGAAATTTGAGCCAGTGTCGTAGAATTGTGCATCGCCTGCAGATGTAGAGGATGTGAAAGCTAAAGTGAGGGTTGTTAGAATGCTTTGTGCATATGATTGGGTCAGGTTTGTGTAGTTGTGAAAGTGAGACTTACAAAGGAAATGCAAAATGAGAACCACCAACGCCTTGCTAATACAAGAATACATGTTGTCTAGCCTAGAGAATTACACGAGTATGTGATAATTGCATGCCGTAAGAGTACAAGATGATATTAGCTTTGGGATGTGGGAGGTAGAATGTTGTTGTTCTTTTAAGCGTTACGAATCACAAGTGCGAATGGCGCAGTTCAAAACTCGCCGTCGGTCAACGAAGGGTTTTGACCAATCAGCAGATCTATATTTGCAAGCATAGTCTTAGGGAGCCGATCTTTCAGGGGCGTTCCTGCATCTCTGTTTCATGCTGCTTACGACGCTCTCCTAGAATAGGACATGTGGCGCATGCGGATTCGGGATGATTTTTAAATTTGGTTCGGCCGAATTGCCTCGGCTTCAGTAGTGAAACTCTCCGGAAACAAAAGGGAATGCGCGGGACATGAAACACCACCACACCACAATTCATGCTGGATGTTGCTACGCTACATGTACCTAGCAAGGGCACTCGACTAGATGGTAGCATGGAATGAAATCACTGTGCAGCAATAAATTTCCAACCGTTCTGCGTTCGTTCTGGCAGCAAACTTCATTGACTTCACACTCGTCACCAATTCCAACACAAGCGAGAGGCTGATCTAGCCCGCTAATGGTAATCGATAGCTCTGTGAGCCGCACGCTGAGTCAAAATGTTCCGGAAGGGGACTTGAAATTGTTACGTACGGGATGCCATGGCTTTGAGGCTCTGGTAGAGCGAGGAAGTGTGGCAGGCTTGAGAACGAGAGCAGTGCCATTGACCAGGTTACAGTGCTGAGTTTCATTTTGACCTGTGTTCGCGGAGTTGGCCACGACTGGAGGAAATCCATAGTATTTGCATGTAATCAAACGCGCACAGCCTAGAGCTCCTGACTCCCAGTGAAGATGGGATACATGGAAAGAAGTTGCGGCCTTTATCGATTTTTAAGTGGTCACTGCCTGGATACCGAGCTAACCCGATGTGCGAGAGCGAAATGAGCAAGATCTGCCTGCGTCTCCGTCTCAAGAAGTGCCTCCGAGAATAGGCGAGAACAGGGTGTTGACAATTGATGGCATGGAGACGAGCGCTCTCACAGTGTCCTACCTTGTTTATGCAAATGCATCAGATACTTCGGCTCCCGAGCCTACAACATGTGGCGAGATTGTTGATCGGCACAATACTAATAGTAGGCCTGGCCCCCTTGTCGTCAGACCAGGCTGGCTAGTTCGATGATAGATCAAAGTGTGTTTTCTGCAAAGCAAGCTTACGATTGCATGACGAGTGTACAATTCCACCCTGCGTCTTCAACGACGACTTCTACAATATTACAATGACACTATGCGATTCCAAAGCACGTTAACGTACCTCAAAGACCCTCCTAATAGCTATCAGCAGCCATCGATCGATGTAATGGAAGGGCTTCATCAAATTCAGCAAAAAATTGACGAGAATGTCTTCTCAAGTCAATATGGCTTTGAGGCTACGCTACAAGATGTGATTCAATCAACACATGGCCGCCATACTCAATTGAATGCGGACTTCTTGCAGCCTTCAAGTTCTACAGTCCGTGGAAGATTAGTTCCGTCTCCAACGACGGATATGAGCTCCCGAAAGTCTATGTAATCGGTAATACAAAAGCAGACTCCTTGTAAGTCAGGCAGCTGATCTAACACTAGACGATTTCGACGCTGGAAATGCCAACGCTTCACCGATCAGCTCACCGATCAGCATGATCAATGATCAAGATGTCATATCCTTCATTTCCCAACTTGCAGCTATATCAACGCCATTGGCGGCCTTGAGTCCCATGCGGATTGGAATGCAATGATGTTCAGTCCTGTCTTGTCAATCCAGGGTGGTCTCGATTACTTTGCAGGCCAATCTACCTTCTACCTGGAGAAATCATTGCACTCACATTTGAGAACAAAAGTACAGTTCGACGTGAATGGAAAGCACGTTACAACAGCCCTGGTTATGTCGGGCGCCTGGCGACTCCAGGAGATTTCTATAAGTTCTTCGTATTGGGCCTCTATCCGGTGCCTGACAACTCTAAAACTCTCGAGAATGGCTACAGCGACAAAAGAGATGTTACTCTCGATCCAACAGATTCAGATACAGTTAGGGTTCCTTCTACCACAAACTTCTGCGCCGGCCTTCCAAGAACTACTGGATGGTCGAGGTCAGCTAGCGCCGCCTATCCGCCTATCCGCCTATCGCTGATATTGCCCAGCCACACCTTGCTATCAACGGTGGAGGATTTGTAAGTGGCTATTTCCAAACAGATGTAAAAATGGCAGTACTTAGTATTCCAATGTTTGAGGAGTATAGCAAAGCTTCCAACGCTTTCTCACGAACGATCAAATGTTACATTGAATCCAGCCGGAATGCGAACCTGAAACAAATAGTCATTGACGTACAATAAAATCAAGGTGGTAACCCTCTTCTTGCAATCGATGCATTCAGACAAGTAAGATATGATGCTACGTGACAAAACCAAAGAGCTGATTACCCGGACGGTTCTCCCCATCAGAAGAGCCATGGGCCATGAGTCGGTTGCGAGGTCACCAGGCTGCCAACATAATGGGTGAAACGCTCACAAACTTCTGGGACACTCTGCCGACAGATGTTTATGACTACTATATACTGTCGGACTCTGAATGGGTTGCCTCAGATCGCCTGAATGCCGGAACCAATCACAATTTTACTTCATGGCAAGACTTCTATGATCCCCAAGAGTACAGCGGGGACACTTTTACTACCAATGTAAGTTTCCCAGCAAGTTCATTTTGTCTACCATTGGCTGACTTTCACTGTGTCAGCAACGTCATGGCTTTTCGAGCTCTATCTTCGATGAGGAAGGGTTAGGCATCGGATTCCAAACAACCAAGTCCGAAGATCTTGCGGATCAGCCGACAAAGGTACTACCGTCATTCGCGGCTGCAGGCATTGTAATAGTGAGTAGGCAGCTAAAGCTTTGGAATGTTCCTCATTGACCCAACCAGCTTAGTGATGGCCTCTGTTCTTCGGCATGTGCGCTCTTCATGGAAATGATGCATCACCAAACAGGCGTGAAGACTGTAGTAGTGGGCGGCAAACCTAACTATGGTCCTATGCAAGCCCCAGCCGGCACTCATGGTGCACGATCTTACACCTCGGGGCATCTCAACCAAGATATTAACATAACAAAACGACTCAACAATAATACCGCAGTCTTGTTGCCCGCACGAGAGCTAGACTACTGGATCAGCTATGCCAGTGTGAACCTTCGGGATCAAATCAGAGAGGGTCAGGCCGGCATTCCTTTACAATTTGTCTACGAGGCACCCGACTGCAGGGTCTTCTATACGAAGGATACCTACAATAACTACAGCAATCTCTGGCAATACGCTGCCGACGCTATCTGGTCAGACCCTTCAAAATGCGTCAAGGGCTCCACAGGCCATGCCACATACGGCAAAAACACAGACCGCATTGGTCCACCACAACCGCCTCCAAGCACCAATACCATGTACGGCATACCCACCATCACCCAATCAGCCGGACCCCAGAACGCCATCCCCGTTTCCATTTAAGGAGTCCTGACAAACGGAAGCAGGAGTGTTCTTGACTACCAAGGCCGCAAATGTAAACGATTCCACCATCACCCCCAACACCCCAGCAACTGCCCGCCTTCCTATGACTGCATAAAAAGCCAAACGATGAACTCGCCATGGCAAGAGATTACACGAATCCCAATGTTGGCCAAAGTGCTGGGGCAATGGAAATTGCGAACATGGCCTATGTCCACCATTAGGAGTCTCTTGAAACTTGGATCGGTACTTGTCCGCCTAAGCTACCGCCGCTATACTGTATGGCGCCTAGACAAAATGACCTCCTGATAAACTACCATCCAGAACCTCAGAAGATGTAGATCATTTCTTTGCTCGCTCTTGTACTATGTGCCTTGTGTTCGCTCTGATCTGGCCGCTAGATGAGTTGATTGGCTGTTTGCTACGGGATAGACTCGTGATCATATAGGATAAACTAGAGAAGTCCTTGTACTAGAAAATACTACCAGTAAGATAGGTAAATAGCCAAGAAGGTGCTGCCAAGCTCAGAGGCAAAACCAGCAAAACCAGCTCAGCGCTAGCGCGGCTGACAAATTGGGCTGCTCGACGACCCAAAATGCTGCTCAGATCCATCTTTTCACAACGATTTCGAGCAAAATGGTAATGTACATTAAGAACTCAGCTCCGAAGGGCAAAAATATGATAGTCGCACTGAGGATCGAACTCAGAACCTTCTCGGTGCAATAAGCATAGATCCACAATGTTGTGAACGAGAAATCATAACCATTAGACCATGCGACTTATAACGCGCCTTCAATATTGTGTTATCTATTTTAATATTATTACAGTTTATTCACTGCCGGCGTCTTTAACTCAGCCCAGGGTCTCGAGCAACTACGCGGAATTCCTGAAGGATCTCAATGAACGGCTGGCGAGCTGGGAAGGACAAGCACGTGCTATGCCAGGCCCATTGCTAGGCGGAGGACTTTCGAACAGCAGCACCGATGTCATGGTCCCCCCATTCCAGCACACAACAATCATACCAAAGAGCCCACAGCTGCCCACAAGTTTGATAACAGCAGAGCGCCAGTCCAAGCGCCAACGGTCGATGCAAAACCCCCATCAACTCCGCTCCCAAAATCAACGTCCCATTGCCTGCCTTTACTAACAAGTCCGACACCAGCAGAGCCTCAGCCCAACTACCTAAGCCGTAGGGAAAGACCACTCCTGCTCGCTTCGCTCCCACTACAGCCACCAAAGCGAAGACCCTCCTCAATTCTATCGAACTTGACAGAGCACCAGCGGCCATCGCAGCGCCTAAGCTATCCCCCTATTAGCGCTGGGATCGTCAGCTCAATGGTACGTTGTAGGCCATGCCTAAGCCAAAGCCTGCGGTCTGAAGGGTAGATGAAGAGGAGTGAGGAGGATGATCTAAGCTGGCTTGGGAGGAGGTTGAATCTGCGGATTGATATCGATGTCAGCTCTGCGGAGGGAATTTGTCGATGGAGGATGAGAGGATATTCGGCAGCACAACTGGCATTTAAGGAAGCATTGGTTAGCATGAAAGGATGTCTTTAGCAATCGGATCAGAGAACGACCAAGTCCAGAAGAAAAGTTTCAACTCTCCGACTCCGAATGGCATGCAGTGATCTTGACAATATTGATGAAATTCGTAGAAGAACATCACATGACTGACGCCTTTTCGTATAATGCATAACGAACAACCACGCATTCCCATAGGGTATACGCCCATCATGATACCAGAAAATCTGCTCTTCAAAAAGTGTAGGTCCAACTCATTCCCTACCACTCCAACCGTCACTCCCCCAACTTCGTCCTCAACCGATCCACCTCCGCCGTCAACTTACTAATCTCCTGATTCTGCGCACTCATGGTCTTAGTCTGTAACTCCAATAAATTCTTGATTTCAGCCAATGAGCTCTGTATTGGTTGATCTGAGGAAGACAGGGGAGTCGATGATGACTTTGGACTAGAAAGAGACCCCACAGTAGACTTCGACGCTGGAACGGGGCTGGAAAGAGAGTCAATCGTAGACTTGGAAGCCGGCCCAGGATTAGAAAGAGACTCGATCGTAGACTTTGAAGAAGGTGCGGGACTGGAGAGATGCTCGAGCGTTGATTTTGACGAAGCTACCTCTTGAGACTCAATCTGTGTTCTCGTATCTTGGCTGGCTGCTACTTGGCTTGCTTTGTCGAAGTCGTCGGGTTTGTCTTTAACGGATGAGAGTTCATCGCCGAGACCTCTTGAGGTAGGCGTTGGTCCGGATCTCTCTTGTGGTGCGGCCGCAGAGACGTGTTTTTCAGAGCGATCGACGGGCTTGGCGATCTCCTCGAAGTCGGAGCTGTCCTCGTCTGAGTCGTCATCTTCTTTATCGTCGGTGAACTTCGAGGCCAGGTCTTTGATGGAGGATGTTTGTTCTTTCATGGACCGTGGTGGGCCACGGAGAGCGGAAGCCGGCGGGGTGGGTTCTGGCTCAGCTTCGGGTGCCTTTTTCGTTGGTGGAGGGACTTTTGGCGATGGGGCACGTGCAGTAGGCTTGTAGTCTGAGGCTACTTCTGCTGGTTCCTCGCCTGCGTAGACACTAGCCAGATCGATCTTTGGTGGTAGACCTTCCTCCCCATTAAACCATTCGGGAGCGGACATTGCAGGCTTAATACCCACGGTGGGTGGAAATATGTCGTCCTGGAACACTTCGGCCCGCCGGGGTACGAGGAAGGATATCGGCTCGATGTAGGAGTCGTTGACTGTCTTGAAAGCACGCATGACTTCGTTCTCGTGGACGTTAACGCCGCGTTTGGGAAGGAATGCGATGCCTCGTTGAGGATCGCTAGACTTATATTCGGAGAGGAACTCGAACTTGTCGTTCGTATACTCGAAGTACCGGATGTTGCCGTCACTGCATTGTGTCAGTAAAGAAGTGGTGCTTGGGATGTTGCTTTCCTCACCCTTTTCCGGCCAGGTAGAGACACTGCGTGCCATCATCCCAGAAAGGCATGCACACACCAGATATGGCATCCAGCATCTGGAATCCTTCTAGCGGCTCCTTGGGCTTTCTGATATCCCAAAGCCCCAACTGCCGGTCACTCATCTTCGAGAATCCCGTGGTAGCTACCCTATCATGTTCGCCCATCCATGTCACGCGACTGGCCTTTGCGCCACCATGACCAGGCACAACGTGGGCGGGCTTCTCTTGCCGTACGTCCCATATCCGTAACTTCTTATCGCGGGATGTCGTGACCAAGAGAGAACCATTTGCACTCCATGAGAGCGACTGAACGATGTCCGTGTGTTTGAGGGTAAGACGTGAAGATCCTGCCTCCACGTCCCAGAGCTTGATTGTGTAGTCTCCAGACGAGGTCGCAAGGACGTTCTCGGCGGCTGGGTTGAAGAGAACGTGGCCAACTTTCCTGCATGGTCATCAGAGACTGCTCAGCGTCTATAGCTCGGGAGACTAGTACCTTGAATGACCAGTGAGCTTCTGGACTGGCGCAACATCCTTGACGGTTTCTCCCTCCTCCGTTCGCAACGTAAAGTCTTCAGGGACCTTGTATATGAAAGCCTGTGCCGGTGAGCATTATGCTTTCCCAAATCTCTGGACTCTCCATACCTTGCCATCGTCTGATGCTGATGCTATCAGCGAGTCGTTGAAGGGACTCCTGTAAACCTATTTAGCACAAACGCCATCTGATTCTCGATGTTGACCGTACCAGTCTGTATCCAAGACAACGGCAGTATGCCCCCTGAAAAGTGGTAATTGTTCTGGTAACCGCCCCTTCTCATTGATTGGTATGACTGCGAATGCACCCCCTCCGCTGGCTTCCCAATTGACCGAGATGTATTTTGGGTTGGCCTATCTGTTCGTCAGAAATGGTCCCTCCCGTGATGATATGCCACGAATCTACCTTTACGAGGTTCGTGTCCCAGGCATTTTTCGAGATTCGTATATTATCATAGCATTGCTCCTGCGGGCAATGTCAGATCACAGTAAATGTTCTTCGGGGGCAAGTGGATCGTACCTTTCTGGTTGGCCGGCCGAAGACATGCCCTGAATTGCGCTTTAGCTTGCAGAATGGGGGTGGAGTGCAGGGGTGTTTACGGTACTTCGACGAGCGAACAAAGCGGCCTGACATTTGCGCGCATGCAACAGCAATCTAGTAAGGGGCGTTTGGTGGGATCTAGCCAGTACCAAAAAGTCGAGAGCTGTCGTGTTCTAATGCTATTTACTCAAAGATTGGCATTTAGGTTGCCTGGATTGTGCCTTTCAACGTATGTATCTGACAGGGTGGCGCTAGGCCGAAAATGATTATTTGAAGCATTTTGGCTCCTTTGTTGGCTACAACGTCAGTCTACTCTTCGTCGTTTTACTCTATCTGCATGCGGTTTAATGACACGGACATTAGGCATGAGCACTGCAGAAGTTACTACCTCTGAGCTTGGTCTCGATCCAAGTAAAAAAGGTTGCCTCAAAACAGTAATCTTGAGATTGTCTTTTGATCGTCATCAATATCTTATACAATCTCCTAGGCATAGAGCGCCTTGCTTCCATGCAGTTCTCTATGTACAAGCTCTCATAGAGAGCACAAATCTTAAGAGGGAAGAGTCGTGGCCCAGAGGACTGTATATTATAAACAGCGGTGTCTTGAGGCCATGCAGAGAACGCTAATATCAAAAGATCGGGGGTGGAATACATCCCATTATGGTGCCGTAATACGGTTAAGGAATTGTCGAGTCTGTGCGTGGAGCAGATCTAGAACAGCGTTTTCCTTGTAATCTTGAACACATCCAAGTCAGCTCTGCATTCCCTATTCACCACGATATAAGAGGGTCCATCAGATAACTTACGGCCCACGCGCCTGCCACCCCAGCCACTAAGCTCCCACTTATCAGCATCGGCCTTAAACCTTTCGTACTCTTGAACAGCATCCCGCTCAAGGCCCCCGCAGCAACGCTGTTCGCGCTGTCGTGTCTCCCCCTGTAGTACCCAAAAGTCGAATTGATCCCATTATATACCATCGCAATGACCCCGGCACTATTCCCCAAGAAAGGTCCTCTCCTCGTCATACTATTAAGTACTGAGTTCAGCCGTAGCTTTGGCGGCGCAGATGCGGGCGATCGCCGTAGTCCTTCGATCATACCCCATGTTCCCCCAAGGGTGAGCGCAGACAAATATGTGACACCGGTGCCATAGCAGAGGTCGTCTGACCAGCCTCGAGACGGGAGGGCGGATCGCGAGCCAGGGAGGTCGGAAAGGGCCGATTCTTCGAGAGATAGGTAGTCGAGTGTTTGCTGGTTGAGGCCGGCTAGGGGATGGAGTTGCGAGGGATCTGGTATGGCGGCATCGCCGAGGAAGGAGGAGACATCTTGAGCTGACGAAGGGTCGAAGGCAGTGGGTTGGAATGTGGGTTGCGGTGATGGCTCGTATGAAGATGAGGATGAGGGCGAGGAGGTGTTGGAGGAGGAAGAGGATGACTTTTGTCCTGTGAGCGTGCCCCAGAGGGACATGACGATGTTCTCAGTAGGGTTATAGTTCGTGGGAGGGCTGGTGTTGGAGTGCTGTTGCGTTCTGCAGCTGCATGATGAGGCCAAAATTTGTTCAGATCAATGATCGCCGCTGTCGGCAGAGTTCCCTATTTGAGTCGGATTTTTTTAAATAATGGCTTGGCAGCTTGGAGGTTTCTTACTCAAGACAGTGCAAGGGTCTCAATCTTTAGAAATATACTCTGGCCGAATCTACCTGAGTGCCACCGATCAATTGATAATGGCCCATAAGCTTTTGTACA